GAAGCTGCACGTTGAGGACCAGGCAAACTCTTTCCTGCAGGTTTGTGGAATGAAGAAAGAAATGGTTACAGAAAGCAGCCATGTGACTGTGCCATCTGAGGGAACCCCCAAAGAAGCACTTGCAATTCAACTGACATAAGGACTCACTCACTCTGTAGATGTCTTCATGCAAAGTTGGTATGCACAGATAGCATTTTTGGAGAAAGGTTAACACATCAGAAAAGAGCAATTCAAGACCAATTTAAAGACAGGCCTCTAAAGCTATTGCTAGTTTATGCTATTTTGTTATGGCAGTTCTTGTTTTTCTGTTGTTGTTGCTGATCTTCCAGATTCATTGTTTTTAAGAATACGTGACCAGATCCTCCCAGCTCTAAGGAATATCTGATTGCTTGCTGGATTGGTCCAAAGCAGGATAAAGGTCAATGGTGAATACCTTGGCCATCTATATTTTGTTGATGACACTGTTGCTAACCTTCAAAGATGAATAACAGGATTGAATTACAGCAGCAAGTGATCAGACTTGAAAATAGCTGAAGAAGGTAAGAGTCATGTTTAACCATTATTCCCAATCTTTGCCAATAAAAATGGAAAATGGTAAACTGAAAAAGGTCAACAATTACACCTCTCTTGGTCAAAAGATTATATGGAAGATGATATCATGCAATAAATTTTGAATATAGGTTGGAAACTATTTGGACAACTTCATGCTGCAGTCAAAAGACCTGCTTAAAGATAACCTGCTTAAAGATAATTTTTTGATACTACCTGTACTGACATATGATTGTGAAACCTGGACATTAAATGCAGAAGAAGTAGAGAAGCTGAAAGTTACCCAAATAAGCATGGCATGGCAAATGCTTGACATCACAAGATGGGACCAGAAAAGAAATATATGGAATCACAAACACACCACAGTATGTGACATAATGAAGGGGGTGATTGATTGATCAATCACTGTCAACTCTTTGTGACCACATGGATAGATTTTCTGCAGGATAATTTGTCCCCATCTTGGTCCTTCAGGTCTTTCAACAGTGCACCCACCCACCTTGCTGCAGGTCATCATGTTCTTCCCTTTCTTTTCCTTTTTCCCAGCATTGTAGGCTTCTCAAGGGAGCTGGGTCTTCTCATAATATGTTCAGAATAGGATAGTTATTTGTGCCTTGAGCAAAAACTCTGGACTGATCATTCTACGATCCATTTGTTTGTCTTCTTGGCTATCCTTGGTATTCTCAGGAGTCTTCTCCAACTCCAAAGTTGAAAAGCATCAATATTCTTTCTATTCTAGATATCTCACGCAATGAACAGATCAGCACTAGGCGACAATCCTCAGCTGGCTGCTACCTGACCTTAAAAGACACGGAAGATACCCAAAGAAACATCAAGAAGATGTTGTAACTCAATTCCAAAGCATTAGTTGCAAGCAACTTCCAATGTCCTGAAGCAGTTGGACACAGCTGAAGACCCTCATGCTGCAGTGGATTGATTTGAGGTGATAATGATTATGAATGTATAAATGTATGTATATGTGTGTATGTGTAGGCTTCTTGTGTGTGTGTGTGTGTGCTTGCGTGCACACACCCGTGCCTTCAAGTCAGTGTTGACTTGTGGTGAATGGCTGGAAAGTCCCTGCAGTTTTCTTGGCAAGGTTTTCAGAAGTGGTTTGCCATTGCTTCCTTCCTAAGGCTGATAGAAAGTTACTGGCCCATGGTCACCCAGCTGGCTTCGTGCCTAAGGTGGCACTAGAACTCATGGTCTCCCAGTCTCCCTAACCCTAAACCAACTCTGGATGTCTCACAATATAATAAAAACACAATGCAAAACAAAAACAAGGTGGAATCTGGTCGCTTGATACAAAAAACATAGACAAAAACACATCCATCAAGGGGCTCCATCCATCTCAACCTAAGGCTGGGGTCTTCAGGGCCTTGCAGAAGGTCTATAGGATGGGAGTCACATGAATCTCAGGGAGGATCTTATTCCAGAGGGTAAGTGCCATGACACAGAAGGGACACTTTCTGGCTCCCTCTATGACACCGTTACATGGCACAGGACCAGGTTATGTGAGGAGCTGTCTCGCCCCCATTATATTTGCCCACCCCATTTGGTCCAGTAGAAGGGGCAGGTTGTGGACCCCACCAATCAAGGAATTTTGGCTGGCGGGGTCTAGGAAAAGGGCCTTTTCTGCCGTGGGCCCCGTCCTTTGGAACAGCTTGCCACCTTAGGTGCAGGCTGCCCCCACTCTCCTGACCTTCCAAAAAAGCATGAAAACATGGCTATTCCAGAAGGCCTGGGGGCCTGATCGGGGCTCACATTGTTGGAATTGGCTGGTGCGATGATCGATACTGCTCCCCCCATCATCTTGAACTGTCTATAAGTTTTTTTATATAAAATTATTACTACTAATTGTAATGTGGATTTTTATATTTTATTGTTTTTATTGTTTCAGATTTTAATTATGAGCCACCCAGGGCTACTTTCTTGGGGAGATGGGCAGCATATAAATTTAATACATAAATAAATAAGTTGTTGTTGTTCAATCATTAAGTCATGTCCAACTCTTTGTGACCCCATGAACCATATCGTGCCAGACCTTCCTGTCCTCCACTGCCTCCCTGAGTTTGCTCAGTTTCATGCTCATTGCTTCAGTGATGCTATCTAACCATCTCATCCTCTGCCACCCTCTTCTCCCAACCTTTCCCAGCATCAGGGTCTTTTCCAAAGAGTCCTCTCTTCACATTAGGTGACCAAAGTAT